TCTGCATATGTATGACAACCCAGCCCATACCTCCTGGCAATCTGAGCGAGGGGGCACATGTAGATGTTAAACAATATCGGGGAAAGCACTGCCCCCTGAGGCACACCACACTCAAGTGGGTGCCTCCGGGACTGCTGTTCCCCTATCGCCACCCTCTGTTCCCGACCGTGGAGAAAAAAGGCAAGCCATTGAAGAGTGAGCCCCTGTATCCCCACGTCGTTTTATAGACTCTTGGTGCACTCCACTATTTCCCATAGTGGGGGTGGCGGGGATGGCAGTGGCTAAAGAAGGCCACTGGCTTTAGACAAAATTCCTGGCTATGTCTGGTTTCTTTATGTAATCTTACAGTGACTATGATGAAAATGCTGCATTTGCCGTCCTTCCTTGCTCTGGTCTCTTGTCTCTTTCACAATCAAGAAAAGGCTTCCTTTGCAGAAAACCACCCCACATCACTGCAGTCTTTGAAAATTCTTTGAATTGTTCACAAAAATAGAGTGTGTGTATGTGTGGATGCATGCAAATCAGTCATCCAATTGCTGTGAGACACATCCCCAGTGGACAACCATTGTAGGGATTCTTTAATTATTATTTGAGGATAATTATTATTTGAGTTCTTGCTGTGTGGCGTCTCTTGGTTTGCTGACACTTATCTGGGTGACAGCATCAGCTTCAGGCCTTAAAAATTCCTTCTGTGGGGCTTGTCTACAATGGTGCTTAGCTGGCAGCACTCTGCTGATCCCTTGAGAGGATCCAATTGCAAGGGGGAAAAGCCATTGCCTGGAAAATCGAGAGAATAAAAGAAAGACAACATCCACATAGAAAACAATACACATTTTTCCAAGTGGTGCTTTCTTAATTCCTAAGAATCCCAGATTTCTGTTTACCATTCTGGAAATCATGGTAATGACCCAAAGCAGAAATTTTGGAGTATATTTTCAGTTTTGGAATTTTGAGATGCACACCCCCTAGTAAAAAGCAAAGTAGGTGGCAGTGGGTTCGAGAGGGTCCTCATAACTCTTTGTGGAGTACATGAGAGAGAATTCCATTTAACTGCATGACAGTGAAATGGATATTGCAACTAGCCTACAGTCCATGCAGGGCCGGCTCCAAGGTTTTTTGCACACTAGGTGAGGCTACCTTCTGGCGCCCCCACCCCGGTGCGCCCACATATTTTCAAACATAAATGCATTTTAGGAAAATCTAGGCATCTTATATTTTACACACATGTGGCCCAAAGTACCCCTAATTTCTACAGGCACCTCTGATTTCTAGAAACATTTGAAAGGGAGACTTCCTCATGACTCTCTCTAGGCACAAGCCTCCCAAAGCTTCAGGCAATTCCAGACAGTCCAGAAACCTGGAACTTGGTGTGTAGGTACTTCTTCATACTCTGATTTCTACTACTGTCTAAAAGGGGGCTCATAGTGAAGACGCCCCGCCAATTATGCACCCCTCTCCGTGGCTCCACAGCACCTGGGGCCACTTTCCCTTGCCTCCACACAAGCCGCCTGCCCTGGTGGTGCCCAAAACACCTCCCATCCCCCAGTGCCCCGTGGCGGGAATGGAGGAGCCATGCTCCGGGCGGCCTTCCCTTGCGGAGAATGCTGAACGCTGCCTCCTGTGAGATGGCACTCATTGGGCAGATACTTAGCTCCTCTGGGAGTGGTAGGCACATGACACAGGAGGACACGGTGACTGAAATGGTGAGGGAATACCTTGTGGAGCACTATGAGTCTCAGGCCACCAGTCCACTGGGCCATGAAGGAGGTGGTCTGGCTGGACCTCTCTGCCATGGCCCAGAGGCTCCTCTCATGCCCTCTGATGAGCTTGCAGAGTAAGCGGGTTTTTTCCCATGTGGGCAACATTGTCAGCTCACATCGCTCACGCCTCCTCCCCTGGACAGTTGAGCAGTTGGTCTTCCTGAAGGGCAACTTGCCACTGTTCAGCTACCTGGTCCTGGGTTGAGGGTGATTGAAGTGAGCACATACCTGTGCCTGCATCCTCTCTCAGTCTGTCCTGGGAAGTTGGGGCGAAATGCTCTTCCCAAAATTAAAACGAGACTAGAAAGAATTAGCAGAGCCGTTAACCAGTTGGATTGGCACAGAAATGCCCCACCAATCTCCCCACTTCCATTCTGAATCCACCTGCTCCAAAATACCTCTACAGAACCCTGGTAGGAGTGCAGCACTGGGTGGTGTTGAAGGTGGCATGCTCAAGTTCACTCACCCAGTCACCAGCCACCCCAAACCAAAACTGCATGCTGAAATTAAAACAGCAGCACAAAACCTGTTCTTCATATTGATGGTGATGAAAGGGAAGAGTAGGATAATGAGAGCTGTGTGCCAAACAGAAACCAGCAGAACCCACAGGAGCACCATAAGTAATTAAGCAAATTTGCTGTGAAACATTCTTCTTTGCAGGGTTGGGAGGCGGGAAAGGGAGAGCCTGTGATGAAGGGCAGCTGCAGCACTTAGGCTAAGACTCCTCCACTGAGGCAGTGATGGTTGGTGTGTGCTGCTGTTGCTGAGACAGGAGGATCAGGGTAGACACAACCCCCTCCCTCTCGCTTTCTGGGGCCTCCCCTGGGAAATGGTGCATAAGATTTCTCTGGGTCTGCTGTTGGCTTTGGAAGAAAACAAAACATTACTGGGCTTCTGTGTACTGGGCTGACCTTGGTTTAGGCGGGCTAGCAAAAGTGCCTGCCCACCCTGCACTTTTGAGTGTTCTGCTGGGCTTCTACTCTCTTTGCTTCTTTTAAAAAACCTTGCTGGGATTATCTGCTGGGTTTGCACTGCTGCTGCATTGGCACTGGGTTGTGATGCTGGGCACTACTGCACTGGTTCTGCTGTCCTTGCAAACCCCCTTCCCCTCGCTTGGATTGTGATTCTGTGCTTGACATGAGTCCTATTGTGAGACCTTACATCAAATATTTAGATATCAGCAATCATAGAAGAATTTTTACCCTATTAAGATACAACGCCTTACCCTCAGCCATAATGGAGGCCAGATTTACTAGATCATTGCGGAAAAGTTGTATATGTGGGATGGGATGGGATCTGATGAAACATTGGAACATGTAATTTTTGATTGTCTTATATATCATAATATCAGGGAAGTTTTGATCAAGCCTATAGTTAACTCCTTTCATGTCATAATAGAAGGATACTTTTGTCAATTATGCTGGCAGGAGATAATCAAAAGCTGACTAGGATGGTTGCCAAATTTGGTTGGTTGGCATACCAAACTAGGAAAGAGATAAAGGACAGATAGGCCTAAATCTAACTTTTGATCATAAATTTTGATTCTATTATTTCTGTATTTTAAAGTTTTTAGATCCTATTTATAATTTTAGATGCCATTATATTTTATAATTTTACTGCTCCCATAACTGTATTTACTTGTCTTCTACTATACTGGTATATGACCGTAATAAACTTGAATAAATGGGGAAAAAATAAAAAAATGAATGAGTCCTATTGAGCTGGTATTTGCCACAATGGCACTGGGTTCTGCTGCTGGGCAATTGCACTGGTTCTGCTGTCCTTGCAGAGATGTCCCCCCTCAGTTTCTACTTCAGAGATTCTCAGATTTGACCTTAGTCCTGTTGGGTTTTGGCACTGCCACAGTGTCACTGGTTTTGCTGAGCACTCTGCACTGGTTCTGCTTGCTGGCCTTGCAAAAATGTCCCTCCCCTTCACCTTCTACTGCAGAGATTCTCTGGGACATTCTGCTGGGCTTGTATTGCCTTGCTATTTCCCCCCCATTGGAAATAATTGAGAATGGGGGTACCTTGTTTGGGTGCCCCTAGAATTGGATCCCCTGGTCCAATCTTTTTGAAACTAGGGGATTCTTTTTGAGGAGAGGCTACAGCAGCTATGCAGCAAATTTAGTGCCTCTATCTCAACCCCCCCTTCCGGACCACTGAATAAACCCCAGGATAGATTTGCATTTACTTTAATGGTTCCCGTAAGGTATAATGGACCCCCAAAAAATGGGATTCCCAAATATTTACCAAATCTGAATAGTGGGATTTGGGAATATCAGGAAATACTGATATTTTTGGGGTCCAATATACCCAAATCTGGGGGGGGGGGATATTTCTATGACTCAGGTCAACTCCTCTGCTCAGGTTTGAGTTCTCTGCCATGTTTTTATTGATTCCCTTAGCACTTTTCTGACTTATGTTGTTTTGCATAGAGCAGCATGCGTAAGAAGTCATGTGTGTCAATAATTCTGTGTGCAAACACTGCATCTTTCATTGCCTTGAGCATGGAGCACGGAGAGGTGCCTAGAATATATAAATAAATTGTACATTTGCAGCCACAATACACATGTTCTCCATAAAAACAGAGACTTTTTTAAAAAATGAAGAGTTTTAATATACTGGGAAGAGAAATTAAACTATGAATGTTCAAGATCAACTTTATGCAAACGTAATTTACGGAGACACAGTTGCTTTACAGATTATATATTTTTTTCTGAATGGAGAGAATGCCAAAGTACAACTATGAGGTTGTTCCATAGATTTCCTAACCTTTTAGAGCCTTTCAAGTGAGGACCTCAGTCTGCCCTGTAGCTTTTGAATACACTCAAAAGACTATGGAAGAGAGCCTTAAACTACTTTGGGCCACTTCAGGCTATCAGACTAAACAGTTGTCTTCCCCCTAAGCAACTAGAGACAGAGTCAAAATCCCTAACCTGCCTAAACCCTATCTGAACAAAAATAATTTAAACTGGTCTTTTCTATTCTGCCTTCTCCCCTTTCTTTCTCCCTCCAAGGGTTCCCAGCACCCTGAATGACCATTGCTGGCTTTCTCTACCAGACCACCAGGGTACAAAGGAGACTAGCATACATTAAAAGAGAACAGACTTGGTTCTAACCATCAGAGGTGACTGACCCGGTGAGGGAGTGTGGAGTACAAAAAGGAGAGATTTAGATATAGGACTAATACTTACAGAGTAGGTGCGCAGGCTGAGGGACTGGCAGTTCTGTTTGCACATCCTCACCCTCTGTATATCGAACCTTTAAGGAAAAATGCAATCTATTTATCTGTGTAGTCTCTAGTTCACACAAAGAGTAGCTATTTCTCTCTGTAGTCTCTAGTTCACATAAAGTTTATAGCAGAGAATGTTTCCTGACACACCCAACTAGATCGTGTGTGGATTATCAATTCAGTCTAAATGTTCAGTAAAATTAGCAGAAGGATCATTTTGCCCACACTAATTACCTATTCTGTTCTACAGGTATGAACAAGCCTACCTAACTAGTCTAGTTGGGCTACGTCCAGAAAAGTATTTCTGGATTGGCATATCAGAGATAACGGAAGGCTGGACATTCAACTGGACTAATGGACACTCAGTTACATTTAGCCACTGGAACTCAGGGATGCCTGGTAGGTACCTTTGTAGTGAACCTGCTGCAGGGAATGACACCGACTGGCTGGAGGGCTCTTTGGGGAGATGGAGCAAAGTGAGCCACAGTCGTTGAGATGGTTACAGTAGAGATGAGAGAATGTGAGGCAGGAAACTGAGAGCTGCTGAGAGTTTTTAAAAATGGCAATTTTTGAGAGGAAAGGAGATAAAAAAAAGAGGAAGGAGATCCAAGGAAAAGAAAGCTGAGTGGAAAGACAGATGGTGAAGAAAATGGGATTTGAAGAAAGGTTCCCCAAGTTTAATACGGTTGAGACAGTGATCTAAAACCAGTAGAAATTAAATTCTGTTACATCGATATACTCTGGGGGGTTACTTTCTCAAAAAGGGCTTGTCCATTTTTCAAAAATGGTACAAGTATAAAAAGAAATTTAATTCCATTGGCTTTCCCCAAGGACAAAATCATGGCTGTGTTGCTATGAGAACTGGAACTGCAGCTGGATTGTGGGACATTGTGAGCTGTGAGGAGAAGGCAGCATTCATCTGTAAACAATGGGCAGAAGGTGTGACAACAACTCTTGCCCCAACAACAACCACACTGCCCCCTTGCCCAGAAGGATGGTCTGGAACCGAAACAGCAAGTTCATGCTTCAAAGTAGGAATACAGTTTCTTGTGTTGAACTACATACTAGCTTAAGCAACAAAGTAGAAAATGCTGTCAGGAAACTTTTCAGGAACGTTGAGGATGACATTGTTATGGTTTTTTAGTTTAAAAGTTTTACCGTCGTTCTTATTTAAGAATGCAATGTTTATTTTAAAGTTATATGTTTTCTTCGTCATCTATGATTTTTCTAGAACTGTCAATGTCATGCTTTAAAGTTCGGTAAGGTGCTTTAGGATAGTGGAGGAGGCACTCCCAGTCAGCAGATTGCTGTAAGCATGAAACACAATGTTATAAAAAGATAATCCTAGAAGCAAACTCAGGGATCACTGAATCCAAACTTATCTTGACAGAGAACCTCCATATCTAAATTATGTCCACTGGCTGCCTCTCTGATTAATCTCATCTTTGAGAGGAAGTCTAGATGTCCTATGTAATATTGCTTGATTTAATGCCATGTTTTCTAGAGCTTGGTTTCCCGGGTTTAATTTATCGCTAGACTAAAAACTGGAGACTTAATTTCGCATGTGCATTCAAACATACATTTTTTTTAAATCGCTCTTGTTTCAGCTAAAGAAAAGCCCAGCTAATGTTGCATCCCAGTGTCCAACTCTCTTTGCCTAATCAGTGAGGACTCGGGGATAGGACCATGCTTTATTTAGGCACAGGAGACATTTTCAGGATTCCTCTGTCCCTGTCAGCTGCTTGTAGAACAGGAGCAAAGAACTCAGGTGTATCTTTGTCCCTCCTTTGCGATACTGCTACAAATAACTGGGGATAAGGTTAACTACTGCTTTGAAGGGCGCAGAGCAGTACAAACATTCAACAAGGTGACCTGTGTTTTTAAGAAGCAAAAAAAATCAAGCTTATACACTTTTCAGTAAAAATTTCTAGATAAACATCTTGAGCATATGAGTGTGTTCTTAAAGGAGTATTTCTAACACACACACACATTCCACCATCTTCCGTTGCATTCCCATGCACCAATGCAGATCCCCCCCCCCAAAGTGGCTCTACTCAGCAATATCTGAAGCTTTCCTCTAGCCTCCACTGAAAGAAGCTCTCCGGGAAACTTCGATCAGAGGAAGGCTTCTTATGCTGGAAGGGGGCTTCAGACCACACTGAGCAGAGCGGAAAATCAAGCCACTCTAGATTCTCTCACAACACACTGCATGCCCCACCACTCATTTGAGTCACCATGGCCCTAATATTTGAGAAATGTTTCTTGATAGCTAAACTTCTTTTCCTGCAAGTCAGCCCTTTTGCCCCATATTCTACTGCCCTAGCACCTTTCATCAGCAGGTGATTTCTCTCTGTTGTTTTTCAGTTCATTGATACAGATTCTCATCCTCTTTTAATCTCTTCATCTTTTGTTAACTGCATTAACAAAAAGCAGACCAAGGGGTACTTCAATTATTCTGCAGGTAACTCTGCTCTTGCCTCTCTGGTTCCTCTTTCCTGACAACGGATTCAGTCTTATACTTTACTTGCTTTTTGTATTCCTGTCCCACAGATGTCCCTTAAATGATGATTCCCTTTTTTTAGCAGTGCTGCTCTGTAGGGGTTTGTCATCTTGCACCTTTGTATTACTTTATTATTGTTGTTGTTGTATCATTTTGACCTTTGTCTCTTCTGCATTTTATTTTACCACTCACACCTCTGTTCTCCGGTTTATCTACATCAATATGCCCATGAAAGGACTCCTTTATGCTTGGAAGGGCACTTTAGGATCCAGCCACTTGTGCTTGCCATAGATTTCAACCATCTTTGTGCTCCATATGAGAGAGCTTGTTCTATTGTTTTTCTACCTTACTTGTGTGGGCTTGACCCAGAACTGTTGCAAACCAGCTGTATAACATTTGATTTATTATTCACACAAAGGAGGTTTCCTTTCTTTACATAGTTTCTTGTAACAGTTTGCCAACAGCAGTCCTTGAGGGTCTTTACAAGCAAGTCACTTCAAAGGACTGATTGTGGTGGAGGGATAATAGAGACTATAGTCCTTCTGTGGTTATTTTGTTGTTACTACAAAGGAGTTAGAGATGAAATAATTGCTGCACTCTTGGTTATGGTGCCAGGTCATTTATCACAAAAGCTACTTACCCTTTTCTGTGTTGGGGAAAATGTATATATTACAAGAACAGTGGCTAGATTAGAGTTGCCAGTAGGGATGTGTGGTCTTCTGCCACTCCACTGGCAACCCGCATAGGCCACCACCAACCCATAATTCCATACATGACACTGCCAGCTTTTAAAAAATGTTATGTCTGTAAACAAAGAACCAGGAAGAAGTGATAATGTATGGAATGTATGGAAGGACCGAAGAACTAATGAGTTTTCATCTAGCATTCTCTTCTGCCATCCTTAGCATATACCTCCAACACAAAAAATTTTTGTTGGTACAAAACCTATTGGCGTAAACTTCCTTGCACTGGCAGAATGGAATGGTAAAACCAATCTAATATATTCACTCCTTAGCAAAATAATAGATCTATATCTAGAGCACAGCAATATCAATGATGAAAGTCGCAAAAAAAGTTACAGGTGTCTGTAGTCCAGCACGTTGCCCCATATTTAAGAAAGGTTAAAGGTAAAAGTATCCCTTGCTTGAAAGACAGTCAAATCCGACTCTAGGGGGTGGTGCTCATCTCTGTTTCCAAGCTGAAGAGCCAGTGCTGTCTGAAGAATGAAGACTGAAGATGACTAAATGCTGAGGTGCACGGAACGCTGTTACCTTCCCATCAATGTGGTACCTATTTATCTACTTGCCGTTTCTTGCTTTCGAACGGCTAGGTTGGCAGAAGCTGGGGCCAGAGATGGGAGCTCACTCTGTCACACGGCACTCGGGTCTTGAACTGCCGAGCTACCTCCCTTCTGGTCTGCAACTCAGCGTCTTAACCTCTGAGCCACCACAGCCCTAAAATTTCCAGTTAACTTCCTACATTTCCCATGTGCTAAGCTGGTCTTCCATATTCACTCAGTCTCGAAAAGTGGTCTAGTCATGAGTTTCCTTATTAAATTTTTTCACAGATGAGTTCATATGCAGATAAAGGGTGGGTATGATTTTACATTCAAAATAGGAATGAAGGCAAATCACAGAGATCCCTGTGAACTGCATTAGTGAATCCTATTTTGCATGTTCCAGACAGTGTAGAAATCAAATTTTACCTGAAGGTATTTTGTACAATATAAGGATGATAGTCCTGCTCAGGCACAACATCAGTAAGAATTTTCTCAGCAAAACTTTCTGATACATATAACATGGTCATCATCTGTTGCTAAATCAGTAGCCAGGAAATTCACAGTTTGACTTTCCCCGCTTCTTGAATGTGAAGCCTGCTGTAAAGTTCTGTTCTGTTATCAGTTTTTAAAATGAAGGTAATAGCATAAATGGTTTGCCATTAGGAAAAAAAATACGATAAGCACACAGAACTCTTCCAAGATCAAAAATGTTGAAAAGTTGTTTGAATGTAACAACCTAGACATTGGTGGTGGCACTGGTCAAAGTGGTGGGATCTGATGAAGGCTCAGAAAAGGGGGGGACACGGGGGGGGGAGAGAATATATCACCATACTTATTTTACACTTAGATTTTTAGAGAGAAAAAATACAAGAGAACTTGGTTTGAAGCTCGAGATTTTTGCAGAGAAATTGGAGGAGACCTGGCTTCCATCCATAGTGACGAAGAACAAAGCAAAATACAGGAATTGTGAGTGTCATAACATATCCTTTCTATCTCAGGGTCCAAAATCATTTCAACTGTTTTAGGAAAGCATCTGATTCTTTTGCTTCAGAGAGTTCACAGGCTGAAACATGTGTAAGTCTGTTATGTTACAATAGACTGCTGCTGAGTGCTGAAGGTTTGATGAGACATGACAGCAGGACATTATGAATGGATTTTGCTATGTCTTTTAAGAATAAAAAGGAGCAGTGGATAGCCCTGATTCACATCAGGGCTGCGGGGCACAATTTTTTTGGTCTCATTTTGTGGAGCTGTCTTTGCCCTGCGTGAGGAAATGGGAAACATACAGTCACTGTGGGCTATGTTCTCTTGTTGCATTTTTTTGCTTGAAGCAATCTCAGACTTGAACTTTGGCAGACTGCTTATCATAAGTCCCTTGCAGTGGGATTTGATCAACCAGCAGGCTGGGAGAGTGTTACTAGTAAAGACCAAAGTATGATTCTTTTAAAAGGAAAAGCATATGGGGCTTTAGCATGCAGTCCTAGTACATACACAGGTGTTTATAATGTAGTCACCCTTTATGAAAAATCAATGAGTTGACCCAAGATATAGTACAGATGCTTAGAAACATGCTCTGCCCCAATGGTAGACACCCAATTCATGAATACAATAACAAGATTTAAGAGACTCCACTGATGATACCTATATGTATAATATTTTTCTAGAAAAATTCAAGCAAATCATCATGTTGTATATTTTTAAAAGTTTGAGTGTCATGAAATGTTTCCATAGTCACTGGCTTCCATATAACATTTTTCTGAATTTTAGGTTTGAAGATGAGGCCTGGATTGGTTTAAATGTTTTGGACTCTGATGTGGGGAATACTTGGAGTGATGGATCTCCTGTAAGTAAATTATTCTATTAATATATCCAAAACTGTGCAACCTTCAGAATCCATTTTTAAACAATATTGAGGACAATCATTTGAAGATAATATTGAAGATAAAATTTTCTTCCATAATTCAAGACCATCAAATATAGGTCATTTAACCTGTTTGGTAAAACATGACTGTCCAAGTTCTTCTACACATATTTTAGCACAGATACACAATAACTTTCATGAATTCCATTGTACAACAGACCATACAAATAATTTCTAGTGAATATTACAAAACATTAATGAACCTTTATTTTTGCTATAGGTTGACTTTGAGAGATGGCATCCTTGGTTCTCACCCATCACTGATGCAGGACAACAGTGCACAACAGTTGATAGTCGTTTTCCATACTGGACAATGTCATCATGTAGCAGTTTATATCATTGGGCTTGCCAAGTGAAGAGAGGTCCGATTGCTCCTCATTTGCAACTGGTTGATTAAGCAAAACCCTGAACTAATTTGCTTCATTTCATTTGCGACACTGCTCCTCAACCTTGTTTTAGTTTAATATTATGAGGTTTGAGGCACAGCCACGTATTCCCCCAAACTGATTTTTGCCTGACTATTGGGCACCAGATAAGGGCCTTTTCTTATGATATCTGCCCCTTCTGTTTTCAGGGACAATAGAGATACATAAGCAAAGACAGAAATTGATTTTTCTGTAAAAAGGCACTGGAATGTTAAAAACAATCACTGCACTTAACCTTCAGTAGGACCATGACAGAAATTAAATTATTTGATTTCATACTGACACATACAAACAAATTATGCCTTTATCTGAATGTGAGAACTCTAGACTTCTAAAGACATCGTGAATTAGATTGCTGATTATTCTTTTGCATGCTAGCATTATTTGCTCAGAAGGAATCTAGAAATACAATAGGCTTGAAAGAATGATTTACTACTACTACTACTACTACTACTACTACTACTGTCATGAATTACTGATAGAAGTGAATTACTGACAGACGTGAAATACTATAAAGCAAACAAAGTACATGGTAATCATTGTTCATTTGCTTCTTTGTTTTCAGGTGTGGCCTTGAAACCGGAGCCAAATGATACTTTTGGTATGTTGAACTTTTTAGCATCAAAAGGTACTGGAATGCAATGTGCAGCTTGTGCTTGAACCATTGTCTCTGTGTATTTTTGTACAGCTTGGTCATACAAAATAATTGAAGATGGCTGGGTTAAGTATGAAGACAATGAGTACTATTTTCACAACACAAGTTTGTCTATGGGAGAAGCCCGACGATTTTGCAAACAGCAGAGTGGAGATCTTGCTGTCATTACAAGTGAAAAGGAACGTATGTTTTTGTGGAAATATGTAAGTAATGTATGGAAAATATGGTCTACAAATCATATATAATTTATGATGGGTCTCCAAGCTGAACCTGAAGCTGCTCACATTTTTGCAAGTGTTTCCATCAAACACTAAAAAATGCTTAATGAGCATTTGTGAATGTGCAGTGGCATTTTCACAAAACCCATACATGAATGTGCACAGATAGACATAAAGCAGTATCTGCTACTGTCCTATTCTTAGCTCTTCTCAAACCATACGCCTTATCTTTCCCAGCTGAAGAATAACTTGCTGCAAGTGTAATCTCTGTGATCCACATTAAACCTACTCAGTTACACTTATCAAGGAACAGTAGGGGGAAGGGAAGCAGTTGATCCCTTTATGCCTGGAGCATGTGTGTGTGTGTTGATTGTGCATAGATAAAACCTTCTTAGTCTTTCCCCAACCTGACTCCTGCCGAAGTTGATGGGAATTATGGTTTCTCCATACTGAATTAAGAGGCAAAGAAAACTACAATTCCCATCAAACTCAGTAGCCTAGTAAATTAAGAGCAGTTGGGCAGATGGATAGGTAAACAAGGAAGTGACACCTGTGTGAATTATTTGTGATCAGACCTGAATGCTCCTGTAGAGTAACACACTGAGACTGCAGTCCTAAGGACACTGGCCTGGGAGTAAACCCCACTGAATACAATGTGACATCCTTCTGAGCAGACCTGCTTAGGCTTGCTCCTTGAGTCAGCCTGGTGAAATGGGCAACACTAGTACAGAGAGAACTGCAACCTGAATAACTGAGTGCTCAGGGATCTATGGGAAGAAGCAACCTATGTTTTCAGAAGGATATACCTGTTGTTGTGCCAGGAGTCAATTAATCATGGCTTCTCTCTTTCTCTGCTTCACCCTCTCCTGGAATCTGTTGCAGGCATCACTGTCTTTCCAGGGGAAGGAAAGGTAGCATGGCTTTAGCTGCTTCCACTGGCTGCCCAGCTAAGGGCAGGCACTGGGGCTTTTCTCTGACTTGCTTGCTACCTTGAAGGAAATGCCAGGTAAGCACTGGCATCTGCCTGTCCCTCCTCAGCTCCTGGCACAAACAGAGGTGTGTGTGTGTGGGGGGGGGAGTCAGTGAAAATTGCACCATCTGAAGAGCCCAGACTAGTCAGATAAATGGACGCCAACTGGGGAGAAGAATCGAATAATTTCAAGTCAACAAGCGGATATCTATTCTTCTATGGAGATGGACTAATAGACTGGACTAGTGGAAAGCAAACTGTTGTGGCACAGCCTACAGCAGAAGCAGAGTGTGTTTCAGCAGCAAGGGCCTGCAGTAGACTTGAATGGATTTTTTCATTTGTTGAAGGACTTTGGAATAAGAGAACCTGTACCTGTACTTATGTTTGAGGACAATCAAGCTTGTATTACTATACGTAAGGAAGAAAGCACCACAGCAAGAAATAGATCTATTGGTATTAAATGTATGCTTGTGAAAGATTTGTACCAGAAGGTGCTAATAGAGATTGAACATTGTTGCACAGAGGAAATGATGGCTGAAATTTTGATTAAGCCACTGACCAAAGAAAAATTTGAATGTCTTTGGCCCCGGTCACACGGGAGGTTTTGGCCTGGAAGATGGACGGATCGGGGGCGCACCAAACGGGCACGATCAAACCGCAACATCTGGGAAGCAGCGTGCACCCGTCCCCGATCCGTACCTTCAGCCGGAAATCCCACTGCAAAAAAGAACCTGCAAAAGAGCAGGACTTACCAGAAAATGCGCAGCAAGTGCGGCTGTGAGATCGCCAGCACGCCCCTCTTCCGGAGCAATCGAGGCTCCCAGCCGAACTGCGCATGTGCACACATGCGCAGTTCGGCTGCCTCGCTCTCCCTTCAGTGGGTTCGCCCCGGCATCTGATCGTGCTGGGGAGGAACTGCGCAGCGGCTCAGGGGATCTATCTGATCCCGCCGCCACGTGTCTCTTTTGGTGCGGCTCTAAAAACCACACTTTGACCGTTCTTTTTTCCCCCCATGTGGCAGGGGCCTTTTCAAATGTTGAATATGGTTGATCCAAATGTTAAAGTGAATAATGAATGATGTTTGTATGTGCATGTATAATGACTTACATGTTAGACCTTGAGAAGGGGTGTTGGAAATATATGTGTGTGTTGCACGGTCTAATTCAGTCATTAAAGGGTTAATCTGCTTTACTTTGTATGCTATTGTTTAGACTGACCTGGAAGAGAAACCTGGCTCAGAGCCAATGAAAACAAAGCCCACAAAATCTAAGTCTGTTTACTCACAGTCAATGGTTAATGCATTCAGGTGATTTCCTTCTAGGGGTCCAGAAGAATCTCCATTACAGTTGTTGCGAGACCGTGTGGTCGGTCTGTTTGTAGCTCTGAAGATGTAGCCTTGGTCTCTGTTATTTTGTAGATTTCCCTGTGAACCCTTCCCTTAGAAATAAAGATTTTTACATAGAAAGAAATGCCTCCTCTCCAGTGAAGCAATGATCCATTGAAAACCACTAAGTATTTAAGTATTTTTGCCTATTTTCTCAACACACCCTCGGCAAGTGGCACAGCCGCATCAGCTCCCCTGTGCAGTGCCTTTTCCTATACATTATTTCAAATTATTTCTTACCATGTTTTCTAATAAAGCTTTTTAAACAACCACAAGCAGGAAGTGTAATTTGTGCCACAGCAAATGTTAATAGTATTTCACTTTGAAGAGAATAACCAAATTGTAATCATGTTGAAAATATCTGAGCATTTTGACTTAAGTACTTTTTGCCTTGATAACCAGTTCTCTCTTTATATATTTCAGAATGTCTTTCATGCATTTAAGGATGATGTTTACATTGGTTTAACTGTGGGTGTTGATGGAAAGTTCCGGTAAGTGAACAAAAAGCATAAAAATGTACAAAACAGATTTCTAGTTGCACACATTCTGTTAAGTATAATACCATTTTGTAATAAATGAAAGCTTGTTATAAAATGGAACAAGTCTCAAAAGTAACTTTGTTCTTTTGGGTTAAAAAAACAGTTTGGATGCTTCCAAAGTAACTAGATTCCCACCAATATGTGGCTCGAACCAGAAGCAGGGTATGATTTCACCTCCTGAGTATATTTTTGCTTCTGAAGGGCTGCAGTCAGATGGCAGGTCAGACCGTGTCTCCAATCTCTCTGGAGCTTTGTTCTGAAGAGGGTGATCAGACATGCCACCCTTCTTTAAAAAAAACACACACTCTACTTTGTGCATGCACAGAACAGCTTATTCACCATGGCTGAATATGCGGTTATGTGCATATCGCTGAGGAAAGAATGGCAGCCATGGAGTGGTAGCTGCAGACCTCCAAACATCTTGAACACACAATGGGGTGATTAGACGGCCTGAAATACATGGTGGGACAATTTGAGCTGCATATACTGGACTTTCGCCAGTGTCAAGGAAGTATGGGTGATAACAGGGGGCCAATAACTGGAGAATGGAATAGAACAGATGCTCACATTAAATCTGGTAGGGAGAAGGGAGGATATCAGTCCAAACAGCCCATCTGATTGCTGGTCCATACATAGTGAGAATCAGAATTCCTATCTTTATTTACTTTTTGGTAATGGTAGACTGGTCTTATTTTTGTGGATACCTTTATCAGAATCTGCCAAAATATGATCAGCTCAGAGATTTGTCAAGAGGCACCCAATATATTCTTTATACATAACAGGGATTTGAGTGTTTTTCTAGTGCTCAGACTAGATTTGCCAGCCCAATGCTGTCAACTGGCAGGAGGATTCAGCGGTAGGGATATGCAAATATGCATCATTCTGACCCTGCAATGTTGCTTTTGGCATGACCCCAGAAGTGACATCATCATATTGGCACAATGCTGTAGAATTCCCCCCCAAATTCTATGATTTTAGCATAGAGTTTGAGGGGAATCCTACAGCATCACCTAGCTTATTTCTGGGGTTGCGTGAGAAGTGATACCGTGGTGTCATACCAATACCTGTTCCCCCTCATTTCCCCCTACTATACTGCTAGACGGAGGTCTCCCACTATAGATGGAGACCTGGCAGCATAGCTTAAAATCCACTCTCTATCCCCGATGGCATGCTATTAAAAATATAACTGAGCTGCAAAGAAAAAACCTGTACAATGCCACCAAATTCAATGTAAATGTATACATTGTGAAAAAGGACCAACTGCATGATCCCACCTCTACATACTGTCATATAATTTTCTTTAGGTGGCTGGATGGAACTCTAGTGACCTATGAAGCCTGGGCCCCCAATGAACCAAATAATGCAAATGAAGAAGAAGACTGTGTGATGATGTATGAGAGAACAGGCAAGTGGAATAACAATATTTTATTGTTTTCAACTCTTAGAAATGCATAAGGAGGGCGAGAATGAGATGAGGGCTACAAACTGACTACAGATTCAGTGGTGCTCAATAAATGCTACATACTGAATAGGTAGCCACCATCACTAACAAATTAGGACCTCTGTTGCACCCATAACTCTATATTGACAACATGGATAAAAACCATTTGTGTCTAAATTAGTGCCACTTAAATAACTGGGTGGGTCATGCTTCCTTCTGTGTTCAGAATGATGGGCAGATTTGTATCAAAGAAAGAAAAGAAGACTGCTGCTTTGGAGCATTCCATCTCTTCCTCCACCTTGCAGTATCCTAGCTGAGATCTTTCAAAGCAGAAAAAATAAACTGGAGTTTCTTTGTGGCACCTTAAAGACTCACAACATTTCATTCAATCAAATGCTTTGGTGGACTATATCCTACTTCTTCTAATACTCTGAGTGAGGATCCACTCATAACATCTGAAGAAGTGAGTTCCCATATATAAAAGTTTATGCTGGGATAAAATTTTGTTGGTGCTTAAGGACAGTAATGAATAATGTTGCATCAAACAGCATGTGGGCTCAGGCACTCTGTGCATGGTGCTCTTCCAGTTCTCATAGCTGCTGCCTCCTTCTTCAAGCTTTCCAGCTGGTGAGGATCAGTGGTTGGGGAAGATAACATGTTCACTGAGACAACACGTAGCCACTTAGGGAGCTGCATTGGAACCTTGTCTACACTTTCTGTTTGAGCTGTTTCACGAGGCTCTGATTCTGCAAGGCAGTGGGTATCATGTCCAGCGGCAGCAATAACTGAGGTTGCTGGAAGTTATCCCCAGATCTGTTGTTGTGATCCCTGTTTCCCCCATTTGTATGGTTGTATATCATTATGCCAGCCCCATAGTAATGTATTGGTAGCATATCTGGGGTGGGAGGGGAATTCTTTTCTGCACCATATATAGTTACCCAGTGACCCCATAGTAATGTATTGGTAGCATATCTGGGGTGGGAGGGGAATTCTTTTCTGCACCATATATAGTTACCCAGTGACCCCTGAGTGATGAGAGACACTATTATGAACTGTTTAAAGGAGGAAGATTTGTGGAGGCCATGCACAGTAGGTACATGAGGAAGAGGGAAATATCTGTCTAAGTTTGAGGCAAAGTAGTTCCTTCCCTTGCTTTCTTATATTGGTGCATCTTCCTTACATCCTCAGTTAGTGGAATCTAGTGTGGTGTCTGTGACTTGGAGTTCCTGTAAGGGTTCTGAGCCCAGCTGTCTTAGCACTAAGCTGTAACAATTTTCAGTGTCATCATGCTTGATTGACTGTGGAAAGTGCTCTGTCCTTGGGCCCATTCTCTGAAGTTGCTGTCCTGTCACCAAAGTCACCCTATGTATGTTCTAACGGTGTCCAGCATAAGGCCAGAGAAATGTATGGTGGCGTATCTCAAAATTATATTTGTGTAGGGCTTAGGTGATATCCTGGGCATTTTGAAGGATGAGTTCAGGGTTGTTCCCTGAAGCTTGTAAACCTGTAGGAAAACAAACCATTATCCATTTAGGTATGATTTTATGAAATAATAAGTTTAAAGTCTTGAAGGATGCCTGTTCTATAGTATATTAACAAGAATGTACAACCAAAGAGTAATCTTGGAGAAAACTACACAGACTTGTAAACTAAGGATATTTTATTGATTACTACAACAACATTTATTAAAAACAGTCATAATTACTGGAAATATGGAAAATATGATTTTAATAGTCTTGTTTAGCTATGTTGGTGTCCTCATCATGCCAACACTGGGGAGGGGGAAGTTTAATCAGGGATGCCCCTGGGATTTGTGAAATATCTGTGTTTCCAGGGTGTGGTGTTTTCATGATTGTCATGAGCCAGCAGTTTTAAGATTAGATAGAGTAATGAGAGAATGAAAATGCATTGTGGTTTTTCACAACTTATATCACCATGATAGTTGTCTTGATTAAGTCTTTCTTTGTAAACTCTCTTTTTTAAACTGCTGGTATATTGAAAGTAATATCACCTTACCAGGTAATCCCATATCTTCTCTATTCAGGCTTATGGAATGATATATACTGTAGTGCAGAGAACAGATTCATCTGTGAAAGGCACAACAGTTCTGTCCGTTCAACCATTGCTCCCACATCACCTGCACCTCAAGGAGGCTGTGATGAAGGCTGGCTTTTGTTTAATAACAAGGTAACAAATAGAGTCATCTCAAACATATCACTATATTGTACTGAAAAACAAAATAACAATAAAAGTGATCAGTATTGTCAATTCCCAAAAGAACCATAATTTCCACAAAGTTCTTTAAAATAAAAAATGAGTATTTTCATGCTTTCACATATGCTGCTAGCAGTTTTCCCTTTTAAAAATATTTATTACTTTATAATCTTTAAAATAAACAGGACATAGAACCATCATGATATATAAAGATGTTAAACAGACAATTATGCAGACCAAAGGCAGTTGTGTGAAACTGACATGGCCCTGTAGTCTGCAACATAACATGCCTCAGGTGGGCAAAGGCCATTTCAGGTCCTTTCAGAGTTGGGTTGAACAACTGGCCCTCCTCCGCCCCCGCCAGACCATTCTCTGCTTTGACAGCAACAAGTATGTTACCATGCTCTTCAATCACACTTTTGCTTACATTTTTATTCCAAAAGGAAATAGAGATCACTGCAGAACTGTGGTATAGTTAAATTATTGTGAGCCTCTGAGAACATGAGCTACTCCACTAACTATGGATAGTAAGAATACATCAAACCGGGATTTGATACCATGGTTTGAAGTTGGTTTATTAACCACAATATACTAACTATGGTTTCACTTGATGTATGAATGCTAGCATCCTGGCCAGTATTTATTGAGGCAAAATAGGATTTGCTAGTTTCACAAACAAACCATATTAAAACATGTTTTTTTAATTTATGTCTGAATTGAACCATAGTCTCACTACCTGTCCTTGTGTATATTTTTTCAATCATTTCATAATTGATGGAATTTGAGGTTTTTTTCAGTGCTTCCAAATGTTTGGTTTTAATGAAGAAGACAGAAAAAACTGGAGTGCTGCACGTACCACTTGCAAAACCCTAGGTGGAAACCTGGCAACTATACCTAGCAAAGCTGTTCAAGGTGTGATTACTTTGTTAATACATGTAGACTGCATGGGGGGGGCATTCCAGGGCCCTGATCTGGGGGGGGGGTGGAGTAGAACCAGCTGTTCATTTGATTTTAATGTGTATGTGGATCTGGGTTGTATGTGGTGGGGTGTGACCCAGAAGGAATCTTTCTCTGGAGGGCCCTGGTAGCTCTCAACAGCCTAGAATATTTATTTAGCATGTTTTATCCCAATTTTCTCTCCAATGGGGACACAATGTGACTTACAAAAAAACTAAAATGATTTAAAGAAAGAATTAAATAAACAAACAGAATACAGTGTAAAGAAGTAAGCAAGAAACAAAGGGTATTCAAAGCATCCTGGGCTGGGCTGGAATCCACCATCAGGCCACAGACTGTGAACCACAGACTAAGAGCTAAGGGCCAAAGAGTGCCCAGACTCCATATCTGTTATGTATTGGGACTGAAACATTGCAGGACTGTGCTGCCAGAGACAGGGTGAGCTTGGAGCCGAATAACAATAGACCAACAGGATTCTGGCAGTAACTAGTTAAGATGTAAAATTTTGTAAATAGCCTATCGTTGGGAGTGGGGTGTGTTGGGGTGTGGCCATTGCAGGCAATATAACTGAGCTGAGGCTCTGGTCTACAGTCTTGTTCTTGCTGAAATCACTGAATAAAGTAAAGCTGATCATTAGACTAGGAGTCTGTTCATCCATGAAACCCACTATTTAACAATCCCCAAATCTCCAGGAATTTCCCAACCTGGACATGGCAACCCTACCTCCACCCCCACTGGTATTTTTACCTTTAAGGCCCTATATAGCTTGAGGTCAGTGTACTTGTAGGACCACTGCCTCCTACATTGTCCATCCTGCCTTTAGAGGTGAAGCAAGTGGCAATTAAAAAAGGGCTTTTTCAATAGTGGCACTTCACCTATACAATACCCTTGTCCTGATTGCCAGCACACAGCAAACACACAGAGGTAGCTTCTAGATGTCAGAGCTGGTCTGAGTACAGTTCTGAGGTTCAGATACTGGGTAGATGATACTCACAGCTTCAAGTCTGAAGGGGAATCCAGTATCAAGGTTTCTAGATACAGGTTAAAGTCAGAGATAAGGAGATCAAGCCAAAATACAGGAAGCAAAATCAGTAACTAATGAACAAGTTGCTTCCACACAGCTACTCCCTTTTCTGGTGCTTTTAAGCCGCTGCTAAATAACGTGTATTGCATCACATATCTGCCTGCCAGCTGCCTCAGTCCTGCTCCAGCAAGCACTCATCCTCAGTATTTGTGCTGGGCCAATGCTGCAAGCACTGCGCCTTCTGACTTGAAGGTCTCTTTTATCTTCCTCCAGTGGTGTTCCCAAGGCTCTGGTGATGGAGGCCTGGGAAACTGTGTACTGGTTCCTGGATGAAGATCTAAGTCAGGCCCTTCAGGGACTGCCTCCTCCTCCTACAGTACCTCTGCCATAGGCTGTGGGTTTGGGTCAGGTCTGCTGACTATCTCCTCCTCAGAGGAGTCCTCTTCATCTTGTTGCTCTGCAGAACGTGGCTGGTCCGTTCCCTTGAAGGTCTCCTGGTGCCTACACTACTATCATTTAGTCTTCCCAGGCTTTTAATTAAGGGGTTGATTTTTAACACCACTTTATAGTGCTTTTAGACTAGTTTTAGACTAGACACAGTTTTAGCTGTTTAGTGTTCTGTGCACTAGCTGGGCTTTTGGTACTGGATTGTAATTAATTTTAATGTTTTATGCTTTTATTATATTTTGTAAGTCACCTTGGATAGGCTTCTTGGAGCAGTAGTATAAAAATTTCCTAAATGAATAAATATCCTCAAAAGTACACTCAATTTCCCTTTCCAGAACATAACCTTGAAAGATAGGACTGGTGGTAGAAGGTACCCTACCAAGGAAAGTGTCAGGATTTAGATGAAATGCTCCCATGAATATATGTGGGGGCATCTACTGACATCAAGAAACATTGAAAACAATATCCTGGAATCATTATACAATACAAATATCTTTGTATTATCTTTGTTTTCACTCAGCTTTCCTTACTATGCACTTTAAAAACGTGCCAGTTGATTCTTGGATTGGACTGCATGATATCATTGAAGAGGGAAGGTTCCTATGGACAGATGGAAGTAGTGTGCGTTATACAAACTGGGCCAACAGTTCCCCCAGCTCTTCTGTAAGTCCTGCTTGTGAACTCTTTTGACCTTTTCAAAGTGCTTCAATTCATATCACCATTTTTTCCATTTTTGTAACAAAATCACATATATGGAAAAGTATCCAGGACAGTGGTTGCGGGAAGAGCGAGGAAGTCGGGGCCAAGAAGGAAGGGGAGGGGGTTTAAACTGCCTCCCCTTCCAGCGGCTTGCTCAGCACTTGTATTCATGATGTATATAATTCAGATCTATGCTTTCTGTCTTCTTAGATGCCGAGGAGAAAAGTTAATGTCTTGGAATCTTTGTCAAATATTTTTATCAAATATATACAATCATTAGCAGCAAAATTATTGCCAAAAAATCTAATCAACAATGAAAACCAGGAAACAAAAGCCAGTGTTGTTTAATACTATCAGACACGGAGGCTGCTGCCACACACGCTAAGTAATCCACTTTCAATCCACTTTCAGTGCACTTTCAAAGTGGATTTTGCCAGTTCACACAGTAAAACTCCACTTTGAAAGTGCACTGAAAGTGGATTGAAAGTGGATTACTTAGCGTGTGTGGCAGCAGCCTGAGTGTCCTAATTTAAGAGACCATATTATGAGGTGCAAAAACTTTAAGGGCTTTCCAAGGTCGTAATCAGGAGGATTACAAACCATTACATAATGCCATTACCAACTTTTGTAACCCCAAGGCCCCATCAGATGAATTCTTGTTTGCCTGGATTTGGATCTTCTCATATTTACCGCTATTACATGCAAAATCACCTGCTGCAGATAGAGTTTCAGAACTCACTGAATCGACCTGAGTTGGATTCTGAGCAGGCCTGTTTAAGATTAGAAACTTTGAGAATTGTATAGGGTAATTATAGGGTTAATTTTACATGCCTGTACTTCTTCCTGTCTTGCATAATAAACAGAAAATTTTCTTTTTCAATAAAAGATAAAAGTCTGTCATCTTTTCAATCTGGTTTACTGGTTATAGTTCAAAGACTCAAACTCATACCTTACTTGTTGCACATTTAAAGGTTGTTAATCAGTTTGTAATAGATAAATCCTGGAGCATTCTGCTGCTAAATGGTTTGAATAAGCAAAGTCCTTTTAAATTTAGTCAGATTCTCTAATTGGATGTGGGAGTGAAGTCTCTCATTACAAGCCACCAGGTGGGACCTGGAGATCTCCTGGAATTACAGTTCACCTCTGGGCTACTGAGATCTATTCCGCTGGAGAGGCTGCCCTGCTGAGGTCCCTCCCCGGGCTCTACCTCCAAATTTCCAGGAATTTCCCAGCATGGTTTCAAGTTTAACTACCATGAACCACTTCAAATATGTAGTCAAGGAAGAGCAGAATAGAAATACATTAATAAAAGAATGTGAGCATAGTGGGATATTTAGAGGGACTCAGAAGTTGGACGTGTATACTGAGCAACATTATACTGAACCTGAGCATTTTTCTATCCAGGTCTGCATTGTCTACTCTGACTGGCAGAGGATCCCTAGAGTCTTAAGCAGATGTCTTTTACATCATCTACTGCCTGATCCTTTTAATTGGGGCTGCTGGGGATGTTCTCTATACCAAACAGACAAAGTCAGGCCTGGAAAAAAAAATTCTTTCTTTTTAGAGAAGCTTAGTGGGATGATGTTTACCAAGCGATGTTATTCATAACATGAAAAGCCTCAACTGTTCATTTCCACACATTGAGTATCATTTAAAGGAAGAGGAGATTTTTCTCCAGGCCTGTTGGCAACCATAGCCACATACACAGGCTCTCCTCTCACTTGAGGAAGATTTTCAATGTAAGTAGGTAAAAGCTTCTTAGCTTAGAAATATTACTTTGCATATATATCTTTGTGAGATCAACAATCAATACACACCAAAATATGCATATACAGATGGGTATGGTGACAAGGTAAATTGGAGTTTATTTTAGTTATGAGAATATCAGTGAGTTTCCATTTATTTCTTTGAAGCGCCACGGGTTCTTCTTCCATTCCAATGAGGACTGTGTTGCTATGATAAAGGAGCCTGAGAAGTGGGCGGGAAATTGGAAGGACAGAAAATGTTCAATAAACTATGGATATATCTGTCAAAAAAACACTGGTAAGTTTTAATTTAAGATATTTTGTAGACTTCAAAGCCTGTTTCCTGCAATATAACATTTTGGTCACAGGAAATGAGATTAGTAATTTTAAATGCCATAGTAAATTATTTAAATCATAATAAGCATTATATATATACTAGGAGGAAGGCTTGTTGCAGCCCAAAATGCAATGAGCTTCTAGCAGAGGGCCTGGGTGAGCATGGCATTGTGGAGGAGGCATGCTCCCCCCCCTCCCGGAGCCCCGGCCGAGCACCATGCAGCCCGCAGCCCCTGACCCACCTGGAGGCGCGGAGGAGCATGGGGAGGTTGAGCAAGGCAGCGCAGACAAGGAAGGGGAGGCTGTGTAATCTGGCGGTCATGGGGGCGGAGAAGGAAAGGGAGGGGGTTTAAACTGTCTCCCCTTCCAGGGGTTTGTTTGGCCCCACCTTGTTTGGCCAGTTTGGTGTTAGTGGTTAAGTGTGCGGACTCTAATCTGGGAGAACCGGTTTGATTCCCCACTCCTCCACTTGCACCTGCTGATGTGACCTTGGGTCAGTCGCAAGCTCTGGCACAGCTGTCCTTGAAAAAGAGCAGTTTGTGTCAGAGTTCTCTCAGCCCCACCCACCTCACAGGGTGTCTGTTGTGGGGAGGGGAAGGGAAAGGAGTTTGTAAGCCGCTCTGAGACTCGAAGTGAAGGGCGGGGTATAAATCCAATCTCCTCCTCCTCTACTACTTCTTCTTCTTCTTCTTCTTCTTCGGCTGTTGGGAGAGCGTGGAAGCTGGGGCCGAGAAGGAAGGGGAGGGGGTTTAAACCGCCTCCCTTCCTGTGGCTCGCTCGCCTCCCCACCCCCGTGTCTGCGAGGAGAACGAGGAATCCGTGGCTGAGAAGGAAGGGGAGGGGGCTTAAACCGCCTCCCCCTCCAGCGGCTCACTCGCCCCTCCACCCCCACGGCTGCAGGGAGAGTGAGGAAGCGGGGAGAGTGAGGAAGGGGTTTAAACTGCCTCCCCTTCCAGCGGCTTGCTCAGCCCCCCCTTTCACCAGTGAGGGTGGCAGAGGAAAGGCTTGCGCCCTGCAAATGGTCCGTTGTGACCCTGGACCGGAGCAGAGTGAGCCGAAGACGCTGGCCAGGGCTGACGTTGGCGGGACTCCAGAAAGCAGCCAGCCAACCCAGCCAGCGTCTTCTGACTGGCAGTTCATGCGGCCAACTTATTTTGGCATGCATCGAAGGTTGGGGGATGAAACTCAATTATATATAAGGAGAGATATTTTAAAAAATGGATCTAGCAGCAAGGAGGTGCTTGATGCTGGAAGCCACAGTTGTGGCATCTATTTTTCCACAGATCACCCAAAGGAGGCCAGAAAGAATCTTCTGGGATAGGGCTATTTCCATTTTAACTTCACAGTGTCCTCACTGTAGAAGAATGGCAATGAATAGGAAGTTAATGGAAGAATCGTTAGCTATCCTTGAAAGAATGAAAATAACTTTCAGATGAACTTGTTAATATGGGTGTTGTTGGAAAAGGCAATGGCTGGTGCACAAAGAAGAAGAGAAAGACTCTGGAGGGGGCAGCAAGAAGACAATTAGAATAATGTGGTCACCTTCTCTACAGTTAAGTGTCATTCCTTGTCTGCCTCCAGATTGCTACTCTTAAGGCAATTTTCTCCTTCTCAGAAGTGTCACATTCAGTCATACCCTCTCTCTCAGCTAGAGATGTAGTTAAGAACCTATCTCTGTCTCTCCTCTTTCCTATCAAGTATGTTAATTCCTAAATAAACCTTTACCTCCTCTTTAATCAGGTCGTGCACCATTGCTGTGCTAATTACTCTGCCAATGATTGTTTGGTCTGCCATTCCCGGGATCCATCAAGAAAATATATTCTGTGGCATGATCTGGGGTTCCTTTTGATATTGTACTTCATGCTGACATTTTAACAACTGCATTTCCATTTATAATTTTTGTATATCTTATCTGATAGTTTTAATTCTTTGAGATAATGACTTTGAAAGCAGCATTCAGAATTCCAGCACTGAATGAAATATTTACATTTTGGAGTCATCTTAAAAATATTATTGTTGTTTTGCCCAAGAGTAAGTGATACTTGCTGGATCAGCAACATCAACACTAATTTTTTTAAAAAATCAAGTCAGTTCTTATTCATAATTAATCTAGGCAGCAGAACCCAGAGACCCTCTAGCATGGCCAAGCCTTACAGTATAATGGAAGATGTAGTTTCTCCAAAGTATCATGGGAAGTATTGGGTTGGAGCTTGTCAGTTTTTTTTGTTCAGTCCAGCTCCTTATTGCAACTCACATCACAAATGGCTTTTGTCCATGCAGGCCCCATGAGCCCGGTCATACCCTCTTTCACTGATCAAAGGGGATCCCTTCTCCATTTCTCATCAGGGGAAAAGCAGGTTGGGTCCAACCCATTGTTTTCCAACTAGTGTAAGCTCAAGTTTAATTCAGGTATTCTATTTTTGTAGCATGTAAAATCGTGGTGTAATTGACCTTTACAATGAGCTAGTAAAATAATGGCTCACTACGAAGTCCAGCTACAACTTGTAGACCCTGGAACCAGATCATCTTAGCGCTGCAGTGTTTCACACTGGGCCATGGGATATGCAGTTGCTTATTTGGGGGAGTGATCAAGTGTTGCACCCCTGACAAAAGCCTTGAGGCATTTGTGGAATTGGTCTGAGTTTCTTCCACACTGGGAGTGACTGGAGGCACTGGCCCTTCCTGCCCTTGGTGAGGTCTCAGAAATGGAGGAGAGGTGGATTTAAGCCACCTAAGTCCTTTTCCTCCTGTTGGGATTCTCCTGGCTGTCTCCATATCTCGCTGGGGCTTCTCAGCAGCCTGAGGAGCATCCCCAGCCAGTCCTCCCTGGCCTGGCATTGCAGGGCCTTATATAGCCCCAGGCAACCTCCTCCTCCTCCTGCCCCCCCAAGCCTTCTTTCCAACCCTGGGCCTATAGGCTCTCCACTGTTAGGATGCCTGGGTTGGCTACCCAATAGCGCTAATCTGCACTGCTGATCTCACTGGCCCAGAATCTGGATTGTAGTAGTAGATCTGTGTAACCATGTGGGACAGACAAGTTAGGTTCCACCTCTCCCTAATAAGGAATCAATGGAAGCTGGTGGACTGTTAGTGAGGACAGTTGAAGACAACAGTTAGTGAGAGTGAGTAGAGCTGAGTGAAGCTGTGGAAAAGTGCAGCTTCAAGCTGACTAAAAGTCAATTTATAACAAAGAATCCCTAATGCTGGAAAAGGTAGTCAGTTCAAAAGTTCAACTGAAAAGAAATGTACCTTTCCCCAACTTTCCTCAGTGTTATGTTTAAACTATAAATAAAATTAACTTTTTGTTTCTTTAACCCTGTGGGTTGGTTGTCTCAGAGAAAGAAACACATGTACACACAGAAACAAAGATCTCAGGCTACATATATTTTAGGATAAGAATAAATAGTGGTAGTGTGTGAATAAAACAGTGTTTGAGTCCCCAACTCTAATACCTCTGTGCAGTGTCTAAGTGAGGGAAATTGATTAGAAGGGGCTGGGCTACTCTATCAGGCAATGTCTCGGTGAGTGACAGAGAGTACCTGGGATATTTTATCTTTCTATATATTTTAAAAGAGGTAAGATGGGTAGTGACGTGTGACTGCCTGACCTACCTGTAATCCTGCCCCTATGGGAGAGAGGTTGTGAAAGGTGGTAAGTGAGAAAGGTTGTGTATAAGTGAGAAAGGTTATTACAGCATGTTATTATGTATGGGCATATAGACTGGTGTGAATTAGAAGTACATGGAATAGCTTGCAGAACACATGGTGAATTTTGCAGAACTCATGGTGCACTGATGCGTGGTGCCCAGTCTGTGGCCTGTCTGTATAGGGATGGAGTCCATCCACCATAGTCTCGTTGAAAATCTGAGTGGGAAAGAAGAGAAAAGCAAAGGTGCGGGGGCAATCTAAGGTAGCTGTAGTGAAGTTGTTTCAACAACAATTCCCATTAGAAGCACTTGTATAAATGCATTTTACTATGTTGTGTCATGCCCTGAATGCAGGGGTCATTTGGGGGGGACGCCATCCCCCCGGGTGAGGTGCGGGAGGGCGGGGCCTGGAGCTTCCTGCTGGTGCCCGCTGGAGGTCGCCGCCAGCTGTGGGGAGGACACACTTCCGGTGATGTCAGGGGGTGTGGCATATGCTAATGAGTTATGCTAATGAGTCCCCCTAGCTCTTTTTCTACGAAATGACCCCTGCCTAAATGTCTTTCTGTGATTTCTAGGAAGAGTCCACTTTATGCAGTCACCTGATTCAGATGTACAGTCTAAAACCAGTGTTAACTTTTTCTATGTATGACTTTGGCATAGACCCTGTATCTTCTCACTCTGAAACAACAATTCCAGCATCTGGCTATATACCTTATGGAAACAGCAGCTATTCTTTCACCAAAACTGCAACGTGGGAAGAAGCCAGAAAACAGTGTCATTCTAAAAACTCAGAACTTACCAGCATTCTGAATCCCTATAGCCAATCATTCCTGTGGCTCCTGGTGCTGAAATACAGGGAACCTCTATGGATTGGTCTAAACAGTAACGTGGTAAGAACAAGACATGTGTGAGTGTAATGCTATTTACTCAGCCTGAGGGTTTGTATTCAGATGGTGCACCTTTAATGGTTATAATTTAACAGGATTGGCATTCCATTAGCTGACACTGTTGACAATGCTCTGCATGAATAAATTTTGCAATCAGCTTTGCATAAAATTGGTGCCTAATTTATAGTTGAATGTATGGCAGTTTACTGGTTTACAGGAAATTTTATAGAAACAGAACAAAACTTCCAAAAACTTCCCCCAAACTTTGCATTTTATGAACCTGTGACACTTTTGGAATTTTAAGAAAGAATAGTGAGTACCAGTATAAAATGGCTGCCATGAGAGTCAGGTTCAGTCACAAAATGCCCTGTTCGCGGGGGAGGGTGGGATATAAGTACAATAAAATAAATAAATAAATACAATGGCTGCCATGGTAGGGGCAATTTTAAAAAGGTTGGGAGGCCCCAGACTAAGTATTTCTGTTTCTTTAAACATTTCTTCAATCTCCACATCTTCTTTTAGGAATTCTTTATCATCCCATGGGATCAACTACCTCTCTAGCAGATTTCCTGGCTCTGCTTTATTCTTAATTTTTTGTCTTACTGGGTGCGTTCAGACGGGGGCTTTCTGCCGGCATAAACTGCACCGGTTGGAACCGGTGCAGTTTATGCCGGCAGAAACGCTATCAGACTTACCTCCATCTTCCGAATCCCTCCGGTGGACGCCCGCTCACACGCTGCAGGCGTCGGCGTTGGTTTTTTTTTAAAAAAGCAGTTTGAGCATGCGCACAGGCAGCCATTTGGAGAATGGCGATTTTTGCGCATGCTCAACCCCCCCCCATTACATTTAAACTTTAAAGGTAAGGACTTACCTTTAAAGTTTAAAGAGTACAGTAGCCTCCCGGAGGTCCCGGACGCCTCTGAAACGCTAAAGTAAGGGCTTTTTTTTAAAAAAAACAAAAACAAACGCTTAGGGCGAAGCTTTGCCCAAGCGCATATCGCTAGGAGTCTTTTTTAAAATGGCGGGGGAAAGCTGGAAGCCTCAGGCTTCCGACGGAAGTGGCTAGGCACCGGTGGAGAGCGATCAGACGCCGATTTGCATCGGAAGCCACCGTTGCACTGAGTTTACCACCACTAGGGACCTAGTGGCAGAGTGCAACAGTGTAAAGGGGATTTACAACGGTTAGGGACGGGAGGCAGATGTTCGCTGTGTGAACGCCGGTAAGTACACCGGTTGGAACCGTCACCTATTCCGTTGTAAATCCCCCGTCTGAACGCACCCACTATTATGTTCCTTAGTTCTTCTGTGCCTTACTGTCAATTTCCATATGTTTTGCCAGAACCTCTGCCTGTTTTTTTCCTGTTCATGACATTTGGACTATAATTCCACTTTTTAAAGGAAGATTCGCAATTTATGATTTTTTTGAAATCTCTTATTAGCCATGCTTATATGCTTATGTTTGGCACTATCTTTCCTAAGACAAGATGTACTTTGTAGCCAAGCTTCAATTATTATAGATTTAAACTACTTCAGGCATTTTGTGGGGAGTTGAGGCTCTTTATTCTCCCACTCAGTTTTATTTTGATTAATTCTCTCAGTTTTGTGTACTGAAATCAAATATGATTGTGTTGGATTTTCAGGGCAATCTTCTATTTCTATAAAAATTGAACTTAATAGCTCTGTAGTTATTGTTGCCAACTGGGGGAAACAGCACTTACATCTTGCACCTGAGTAATACTCAACAGGGTTACCTCCCTCTAGCTGGCTTCACGATCACTTGTTCCAAGGCAGAAATCTAGAAATTTTGCATCTTGGTCATTCCCTGAATACATGCAAAGTAAAGGTAAAGGTTCCCTTGCTTGAAAGCCAGTCGAATCTGACTCTAGGGTTGCAGTGCTCATCTCCGTTTCAAAGCCGAAGAGCCAACGCTGTCCGAAGACGTTTCCGTGGTCATGTGGCCAGCATGACTAAACACCAAGGCACACGGAACGCTGTTACCTTCCCACCGAAGTGGTACCTATTTATCTACTTGCAATTTCACGCCTAAAAGGTGGGCAGGGCTGCTACTTTAGAAACTGGACTCAAACTACAAACCCAGCTCTCTAACACATTCCCTTGTCATCAGGGGTCATTTCATAGGAAAAGAAGTGCAGGAGCTCATTAGCATAACTCACTGTTATGCCACATCCCCTGACATCACCAAAAGTGTGTCAGAAGGCAACACCCACTGCTCAGGCTCCACTGGACTGTTTTGGATTGCTAGCTATTGGGGGGGGGGGAACATGCAGATCTGTCCTCGCAGAGGAGGGAGAGCTTGTACCTGAATAAAACTTGGTCTTAAAGGTGCCACTGGACTGTTTTGGACCAGGGGGCTGGGGGAAGCTCTCCAACTTACCTGGCTGCTTCTTGCTCTGACTGAGGGCTGCTGGGAGCAGGGGGTGGGGCTTGTTGTATGTGCCCGCCCCCTGGGCTCTTAACTGCCAGAGCTCCGCTCCTGTGCGCTCCTGCAGGAAATGACCCCTGCTTGTCATTCAGCTCTGGGCTTTCTTTCCCACCTACCCTCTTTTCAAGCTTTGGTCCCCTGCTTGATTGAGGCTGGAAGAAGGGTTACCATTCTCCAGGTAGAGCCTGAAGATATCTTGGAATTATAGCTGATCCTCTAGACTACAGAGATCAGTTTCTCTAGAGAAAATGGGTGCTTTGGAGGATGGACTCAACAGTATTATATCCCACCAAGATCCCTCCAGGAATTTTCTGACCGACAGTTGACACCATATGTAGGAGTAATCTGAAGAACTAGCACACGAGTCCTTCCCAGCTCCTGAACCAGGACCCAAGGTCCGGTGTATGCTGCCTATGAATACTTCCCTTCCCTCCCTCCTCCTCTGCTCCCTATATCTTCTGGTCCATTGTGGGAAACAGGATGATCTCCCAGCTCTCTGCTTTTGATGCACTAAGCATCCTGGTTTTGGAGGACAGTTTGTCCCAATTCAGTTCACAAACCAGTTCAGTTCACAAACTGGTGTATCTGTTTGTGGTTCAGTTTGTGGTTCAGCCATGAACTGAACTGCAAAAATGTGGTTTGTGCTCATCCTTAGAGGTAAGCTTTTGCAAAGGGAGCTTTGACTCTCAAAGCTTATACTCTGAAAACCTTGTTGGTCTCTATGGCATTCTATTGAGCGGAAGGAAAACTTAGTGCCACAGAGGAGCTAAGCATGAGAAGTGTCTTTGTTGGGAGACACAGCCATTTGCCAGTGATTCTGACAGGGAACAGTGGCTGAAGGGGGAGTGGGCAGGGAAAAGTAGCAGACCCAGCACCCGGCCAATGGCATGTGAGTACTCTTGAGTGGCAGTTGATGGGCCAATGGCTGATGGAGCATATTGCACAGCCAATGGGAGAGCTGGAAACTCTCTGTGGGCGGGACTCAGGCAACGCAGCCAGTGGCTAGGGACAGCTTCTGAGTGACACATCATGGAGCCAATTGATTTAGGAGCATGTGGAATGTTCAGAAAGTGCTACCTCACTACTCAGTTATATATAAGGAGAAATACCAGGTTGTTGTGAGGATAAAACAAGGGGATCCACAAGGACTTGAGGAGGACATCTTGTTTTCTCCTGTATCTCCTCCCTCACTATTTCCTCTTCCGCTTTTCTGACAGCCTACACAGCCTTCCTCGTTTTTTCAGCTTCCATCACTTTTCCCCACCTACTAACCTACCTTTTACAGTACTACTGCCTTCAGCTTTCTCTCCTTCCCTCCCCCTCTCCCTGGGTAAGATGTGCCCCAGTTGCACACTGGCTTCCACCACTATGCTCAGGTTCAGTTGTGCACTGAGGGCCACCACTGGGATTGGCCCCAATTGCATGCTGGCTGCCATTGCCAGACTAGGGCCAGTTTTGGCCTCCACCCCCCCCCCCAAGCTTTGTTTTACAGAAACCAGGGCTTGGAAGGCTCAGCAACACTTTAACAACCTGCAAATTGCTGACAGAGAGCACAGTGGGCATCACTCTCTTAAAGCAACATGCATTGTTTCTAAGAATATTTTTTATTAAGATTTCAGATTTTTCTGCACACTTCAGACTTCCATCAGGTTTTTAGAGAAATTCCCCCTATCTTTCCTTAGTTCCATTTTGTGGATCTAATGATTCACATTCTATGGCCTGGTTTTGAATTACTTGTATGATGGAAAGATGAAAGAGTAGTATAAAAATGTGATGGATAGATGGATGGATGGATGGATGGATGATAGATAGATAGATAGATAGATAGATAGATAGATAGATAGATAGATAGATAGATAACTATGTATCTTTGTGTATATACTTATCTACAGATTGAAAATGTATTTTATGAAATTAAAATGTATGATTTGATAAACATTGTATTTATGGTGTGCCACAGGAAACTTTACACTTTTTGCTGTAACACAAACTATCTGTCTGAAGGTGCAAAAATGGTTTGTTTTGAGCACATGGACCCTGTTTTCCACATTTTTACAAGTAAATTGAGTGCCGCTGTCTTGTTTTTCTATGCTTTCCCTTTTAGACCAATGAGTATTATAGATGGGTATCTGGCTGGAAACTGGAATATACTAATTGGGCTCCTGGAGAGCCAAAAGAAAATCTAGCCTGTGTCTACTTAGACCTTGGTGGGCTATGGAAAACAGGAACATGTAATAAAAAGTACAGAGCTGTCTGTGAGCAGTATAATGGTAAGTAAAAGTATGTAAATGTGTAATCTGGGACATTGCAGTTTAATTACTATTAGATCTCCACATTCATTTTACCAGACAGAGTAAAAAGAAGACAAAATTGGAATTGGCATTTCTTTCTTTTTCACAATGAACGAGAGATTAAAAGACTTTGTTACACAATAGAGGCTTTGTTTAGGTTATATAATAAACAGTGACAAATTTATTTATTTATTTATTTCAATTTATTTTCCGCCTTGCCTGCACAGGCAGGCTCAAGTCAGCGTACAACAGGTTAAAATAGAATAAAACACAGATACATGAGTGCAATATTATAAAATTTCATATAACAAATGATATACATAAAGTGCAATTGAGTGCAGATGGCGATTGCTGTAAGGTGGTCCGATGTAGCTAGGCCAGTGTTCAAAGTTGTTCTTAATGCCAGTAGCATGAGGGCCTTAAGAGTCCAGTTTTTAATAGCTCATTCATCAGTGGTGGCTCCTAATCGAAGGCTTGGTGGAAGAGCTCTATTTTACAGGCCCTGCAGAACTGTTAGGGGTCCCACAGGGGCCTGATGTCTTCTGGGAGATCATTCCACCAGTGTGGAGCCACCACTGACAAGGCCCTAACTCTGGTGATGGCCAATCTGGTGTCTTTTGGGCCAGGGAGAGTCAGGCGATTTTGTGACCCTGACCTCCGTGCTCTCTGGGGAATATATGGGGAAAGGCGGTCCCTCAGGTAGGCAGGCCCCCAACCGTATAGGGATTTAAAGGTCAAAACCAGCACCTTGAAGCGAATCCGGTATGCTATTGGCAGTCAGTGCAATGCCTTCAGCACAGGCTGGATGTGCTCTCATATAGAGAGACCCATCAACAGCCTGGCTGCTGCATTTTGCACCAGCTGCAGCTTCTGGATTTGGGACAAGGGCAGCCCCATGCAGAGAGTGTTGCAGTAGTCCAATCTCAAGGTGACCATAGCATGGATCACCGTTGCCAGGTCATTGCATTCGAGGAAGGGAACCAACTGCCTAATCAGCCGCAGATGGTAAAAAGCTGCCTTGGCAGTGGCTGCTACCTGGGCCTCCATTGTTAAGGCAGTCTGTTTCGACCCAAATATTTGTACATCTTACATTGTTCTATTGGGACACCTTGGATATTCCATACATGTTTTTTGGGTCTTTTATGGAATACCACCATCTTGGTTTTGGAGTAATTAATAGATAGCCTCTCCTCCTTAAAATAATCTCCCAAACTATCTAAGAGTCTCTTTAGACCAATTCTTGTTAGAGAGAATAGAACCATGTCATCTGCATAAAGCAGTACCACTCAGTACCATTGAGAGCAGTCTGTTGACTTCCTCAAGGCTGAGTGGACTGAAATAATCCAGAATAGAACCAGAAGACATGCATGGGGCCTCGAGTTCACTCACTGTCTCAACTGTGGCGGGGAGGTTGCGGCAGAGTGACAAGACTTTATCTGCAAAATAGCTTATAAAAACCTCACAGCTGATATCCAATTCCCTAGCATTTGGTCTGCCATATGGCAGATTTGTTAATGGCTGAATAGTTCTAAACAATTGTGCCGGGCATGAGCTAGCAGATGCAACCATGGCCACCTAGAACTCTCTCTTTGTGGTTTTGACTGCCATCTCATAGGATCTCATAGACGTCCTATAAGATGCTCTTGATGCTTCATCATGGGCACACCGCCACCATCTCTCTAGTTGTTTGAGCATTAATTTCATCAGCCACAGCTACTGGGTAAACCAAGGAGCTCACTTAGAGTGAGGGTGCAGAGGGTGTCAGGGAGTGATCTTGTTGATGGCTGCCGAGAGTCGGCCATGCCAATCCTCGACTAGCTCATCCAACGAGCCACCTGGGGGCATAGGTTCCTGCAGAGCCATTTGAAGCCACTGAGGGCCCATTTGGTTCCGTGTCGAGCTAAAATATGCTCACCGCCCAAACAGGGTTGGGGTGGCATGTTCACTTGGGCCTTCAGAACGTTGTGGTCTGACCATGGTCCGACTGTAGCCGTAATCCAGTCCATTGTAACCCCCGCTGCGAAGATCAAATCGAGCATGTGCCCTGCTCAGTGAGTGGGGGCCATGACATATTGTGAGAGTCCCAGCACCTCCATGGACAACACCAGGTCCATTGCCTGCGTGGAGGTTGCGTCATCGGCATGGACACTGAAGTTGCCCAGGACTAACAGTCTAGGGTGCTCCAGTGCCCAGCCTGATATGGCCCCCAGCAGGGATGGCAGGCTACTTGCCGGTGTGTTTGGCAGGTGGTACACCAGCCAGATAGCCAAACTCTCCTTGGCTTCCCATACTGAAAAGTACTGAGTTCGAACATGTGGCATAGTGATCAGCTCATAATTTATTAACTCACTGGAAATTAGAAGACAAACTGGCAGGTCTGCGACTGGCTTTTATCCGTGCATACACACACTCAAAACACCCCCCCATTCCCCGTGATAGGCTCTATTTACACTACCTAGGCCCCACAGGTACATACCAGGATCCGCACGAGCCCATTGGTCTGTGTTAGGATCCTACCAGTCTATTGTTCCTAGACCTGAAGGTCTGTTTGACCTTTACTACCAACTCGCCGTGAGCGCTAAAATGGTGGTACTAAGGATACTATCCTCATGACATCATCTGTTCCCTTGTTAGATATTATGGTGAGCACTTATGTCGTATTGAATGTTTTTAAAATGCAGTTTTAATGTTTTATGTATTGGGCATTGGCCCCATCTGTACACCGCCCTGAGCCCGCTCGCGGGGAGGGTGGGTTATAAATTCAAATAAATAAATAAATAAAATGGCCAGGCTAATGCTGGCGAGGCTATTTTAATATGTAACGCCCCTCCCCCCATAGTTCCAAAGTCCTAATAAACATAGTCTTTAAGATACTCTGGATGTCTCCGCTTGCGAGTCGAGCGGCATGGCTCCATCGGGGGAATGGAGGAGCCTCTGTTTCAGTTGGCTGATCTCTCGGGTGGATCGGGGGTGGTTGCTGGCATTGTACTGGCAGTTGGAGAAGGGTCAGGAGTATCAGCAGGAGCCGAGGCAGGAAAGGGAGCCAGAACTGTGTTGGGGATTGCTGGCTCGTATGTGTGCTCTTCCATTTCTGGCTCTTCTTCGCCTTCGCTGTCCTCAGCATCTCGGGCCTCAGGGTTTTCCAAGGGAGGAAGGCGTTGGCGCAACTGGTCCACATGCCTCTGCAGGATCTGACCATCTTCTGTCAAGACTTCATAGGAGAGGGGTCCCGTTGCCCTCACGACTGGCTGGGATCCACTACGGTCCTCGTGTGAAGTTTTTTTGCATAGATAGGGTCTTCTGGGAAAAACCTGCGGGTTGTACTTTGATGCCCAGTGGGTGGTCCAGAGCCCAGTCCGGGTGTAAGTGATACAGCCGGGTCATGAGTCGCCGGCCCATAAGGAGTTCTGCTGGGCTGCAGCTGGTGGAGGCGTGCGGGGTCATCCATTGCCCAAACAGGAAGGCTGCTAGCTGATGGTTCCAGTCACCGTAGGTGATCCGGCAGAGTGCTTCTTTGGTCGTTCACAGCATCCGTTCTGCCTGTTCATTCGTGGCCAGATGGAAAGGCATGGAGCGGACGTGGCAAATTCCATAATATTGTACAAAGTCCTGGAATTTGGCTGACATAAATGCAGTCTGACACCAGGGTGTCAGGGATGCCATGCGTGCTAAATATCTTCCACATGGCCCGGATAGTGGATTGGGATGACATTGAGGGGACCGGGATGACCTCGAGCCATTTTGAGTATGAGTCCACCAGTATGAAGAATATTTGACCCCAAAGCAGGCAGCCTTTGTGTGCTGACAGCTCTTCCTGCTGGGAGGAGAAGGCGGTGAAGTCAGGACCCACTTGGCCAGTGGGCCACCCCCTCTCACGCAGTCCAAAACTTGGGCCAGCACACGATCCCAGCCGGTGTGCCAAGAGACTTCTGTTACCTGGATCCGTCTGTCAGGGAGGTCTTTGAGCAGCAAGATCTGGTGTGCCAGAGCCAGGTCCGGATCGCAGGAGGGCAGCAGGAGGTGGCTGAGCGCATTGGCGTGGCCCATTGCTTTACCCAGCCTGTGTAGCAGAACGTACTGGTAGCCAGCCAGGAAAATAGACAATCTGAGCACTCGTGGTGAGAGCATCTGGGGATTCTGATGGTCCGGAGCTAAGAGGCCCAAGAGCGGCTTGTGGTCTCTAATGATAATGAAGGGACACCCATATAGGTAGTCATGGAGCTTCCAGACCCTGGCAACGATAGCCAAAGCCTCTTTGTCTATTTGAGCATAGTTGCGCTCCGCTGAAGACAAGGTGTGCGAGTAGTAAGCCACCGGGACCTTGCGGCCATCGGGGAGCCAGTGCCCCAGGACAGCCCCTACCCCGTATGGTTATGCATCACATGTGAGGATGACGGGGAGGGACTCGTTGAAGTTGGCCAGGACATCGTTGGAGGGCAGCAGCTCTTTAACAGTCCGGAACGCGGTGGCATGGGATGGCCCCCACTTCCAGGGGGCATTTTTGTCCAGGAGATGGTGCAGGGGTTTGGTGACAGCTGCTTTGTGAGGGAGGAAGGAATGGTAGAAATTAAGCAGTCCCAGGAAGGCTTGAAGCTCTGCCTTCAAAGAGGGGGTAGGCGCCTCCCTGATGGCTTTGACCTTGTCTGGAGTGGGATGGATGCCCCAGGTGTCCACCGCGAACCCCAAGAACTCAACACTGGGGACCCCCAGCATACACTTTTCACGCTTGACTTTCAGGCCTGCTGCGTTGAAGTGATGAAGGACAGCGCGCAGACATTCTGTGAAGGATGCGACTGATGGTGCTGCAATCAGAACATCATCGAAGAAGGGCTGAACTCTGGGGATGCCTTTAAGGAGAGAGTCCATGAGATTTTGAAATATTCCCGGATCCACGCTGACCCCAAACAGCCACCGTTGCACTTTAAAAGCCCCCAAATGTGTCACTATGGTCTGAGTCTCGGCTGTGGCTTCATCAACCGGAAGTTGC